CCAACCAGCCTCTGACTCACCCCCTGGGGGTGAATTCCTGACGCAGAACCAGGAAATGTCAGGGTGATGCTGGGGGCAGCCAGTGGGAGGCCAGGGTGCCCCCACCAATCTGGTGGTGGTGTCATTGGACTAGATTGGAGGTCTAAGTCCCCAGATAGCTTGCTTCTGTTCTTCCCTGCCATGCGCCTCCCCCAGGCTCCATGGTTGGGGGGAACCCCAACTGCTCAAACTTAACAACAACAGTACCAAGACCCTGGCCCCAGACCTGTCCCCCAACTCCAGCTGCTGACACAGGCTGGGGTGTTACTGCTGATGCATGCCAGGTTCATGACCCATATCTCCCTATTGTAAGTCGCCCCCCACACTCTCCCATGCTTCAATGCTGGAGGTTCTGGGGGGAAGTTGAGGCTAGGAAATAGATAAGTGCATAGATAAGCACACTCAAGGCATATGGAGGACATGCTGGATAGGGTGTAAGACAGGGGGCCATTCTAGGGTCTCCGATGTGGAATATTGAGGTCTTATCCATTGGGATGGGGACACTGTGGGAGAGTGGGGAGGCAGTTGGCGGTCCCCAAGCTGCTCCTGGTGCCTCAGGCTATGGCTGTGTCTCACCAGCCCAAACCCTCCGACCCCACCCCTGTACCCTGATTTCCACCCCCAGACCCACCCTGATGGCCCCAGGCTCATTTCTCAGATGGAGAACCAAGGCCAGTGGCCAGGAGCAGCTGTGGGTTGGGTGTTCAGAGAACTGAAATCCCAGCTGGGGAGCAGAGAGAGAGGGAGAAGGGAGGTGAGGGGAGGGAGGAGGGGGAAGCCTGGCCCCGGCAGTGAGCCGGCAAAGGGGGGTGGAGGCTGGGTTGCCCGGGTGCTGGGTTTCTGGGTCACTGGTCTTGGGGAATTCCCGGCTGCCCGGGGAGCTGCCTACCTGGTGAGTAACGGAGCTGCTGCCCACACAGGATGCCTGACCCGGAGGGTACTTCTCCCCACCCCTGCCAATGCCACTGCCATGCTGGCCTCTCTCCTGGGTGCCCCGGGGGAAAGAGACACACAGGCACAAGGAGGCAGCAGGTGGTGGGGGGGTGAGGGAGGATGGGGGGCCCGCTGGTTGCTACCCCTGTCCGGAACCTTTTCCCCCCTCCTCCTGGTGCTCTGTAGGGGGTGGCTGGTGATTCAAGCCCCTCTCTGAACTAAGTCCCCTTGCTTTTCAGATGGGCCGTGGGGTGAATCAACTCCTGGGGGTGGTGAGGCAGGGTCAGCTGCTGTCTAGGGCTGGGGCCTGATATGGGAGGAGGATGAAGGGCCTCCAGAAGGGCCCCCAGGGATAGTGGGTGTGCCTGGCTGTGCCAGCCCCCTCCCCTACTGTCTGGGTGTCTTGGGTCCCTTATCAATAGGGGGTGAAGAGGTCCCTGTTCTGCTTGGCTTTGCCCCTGGACCCTGGAGGGTGGCTGTCTCCTCCTCCTGTACATGATGGCTGGTGAGGGGTGGGCAGAATGGCTCATTCACAAGGCAGGTAATACGACTTTGTGGGCAGAGCTTCCTGGGTGCCCAGAGACCCTCTGGGCCCATAGCCCTCCCAAGGAATGCACCTCATCAATGCCACCATTCCCATTTTACTGATGAACAAACTGAGGCCCCGAAGGCAGTCACTTCCCTAAAGCCACACCGCTCCTAGCTGGCAGGGTCAAGCCTTCCAAGTTGGTGCTGAATGAGGCCAAAGTCCAGCCTTTCAACAGACGGGCCTCCCCCGCCTCCTCGACAGGGACTTGGCAATTGTAAAACGTGTTCGTGAGCTAGCTGATATCTGCTCTTGGTAGTACCCCATTCAGAGTATAATTGGGTATCAGACCACTCCTCTCCCACCTACAGGCCTTCAAAGATGAAGGAGCAAGGCTTGATTCTGCTCCACAGAAGTCCTGTGCACATAGTAGGCTGCAGCCTCCTGAGACTGGGAGGCAAGGCAGGTGAGGAGGGCTTCCTGGAGGAAGTGGGCTTTGGCTGTGCCCCTGGTGAGATGCTGTGGGGATAGCTCTGGCCTGCCCAACGCCAGGGGTTCCGGCTTCTACACAGGTTTGCCATCCAGCTCCGTGTAACCCCTGACCAAGTGCCTTTGCCTGATTGCCAGTTCTCCCTTAAAACAAGCAGCTACGACATCCCAGGAGCAACTTGGGCATGGTGGGCAAAACACAGCAAAACAAACAAAAAGAGAGGCTGGGTGGGCTCCCCTCCACAGCCTCCCTGGCTCTGAGTAGGGACCAGCAGAGCCTTTTGGAGTCAGCAGAGCTGTGCCTAGGCTGTGGCCTCCCTGTGGTGGGGAACCCCGAGGGTTCTCCTACAACCCCCTTCACTCTGGGGCCTGACCAGATCTCGCGGCAGGCCCGATCTGCAGAAGGGAGCCACACAGGCTGCAGATGAAGTCACAGCTGGAAGAGGGTAGGACCGGGGCTGCCACTCCAGGGTGGGGCCTGGGGTCATGACCTTGGAAGCTGGGAGCCAAGAAAGGAGGATGCCTTGTGCTGAGGGAGCTGGGGAAGGGGGTGGGACGCAGGGCCTGCAGTGCTGGAGGGCGGGCGGCAGGCAGGCAGGAGCAAAACAAACTCGGGCTGCGGCCACGTTGCAGGCAGCTCCCTCCCGGACTCCCCGGCTTGCAGACCCTGCCTGGCCTGGAGCACACCCTCCCCTCCCTGGCACACGTGCTGGCTGGCATGGATGGGAGGGGGAAGCTGGGCCAGGGGCACAGAGGGACCCGGAGCACTTGGGGCGTACAGACCAAGCCAGGTACAATGAGGGGAAACTGAGGCACACGAGGACAGCTGAGTGGCCCTTGCATCTGTGTCTCCCAGGCCCTTGAGCCCACTTCCTGTTTCCTGTCGGGGTGGGGCTGAGATCAAATGGCGATTGGGAGTGGATTACGGGACTGATATGGGGTCTGGTGAGCCAGAGGGCGGAAGTACACTCCAAAGATGGACAACAAAGAGACAGAGGCTTCCAGGGGAGTCCCAGGTCAGGTGTGTGGGGGGGGTCAGGGGGAGGGGACAAAGTGCCCTGCTCAAATGGACTTGGGGTCCAGGTTGAGGGAGTGTGGGGGGTGTTGCGAGGTGTGGGACTAGAGATTGAGCTTGAGTGCAGGTGTTGGGAGAGAAGGTGGGAAGGAAGAGGTGGGGGGTCCTGGGATGGAGCATGGCAGTAGGTGATAGGGTGGTGGACGTTGCCCCCTGAACAGGTGTCCGGGGGCAGTGAGAAGCTGGTAGTGGCCACACACACAGTGGCATGCATGTCAGGGAAAGCCCAGGGTCAGTGAGTAGGACCCAGGCTAGTCTTCATTCTCATTTCCCCCAGAAAGCGAGTGTGTGTGTGTGGGGGGGGGTGGGAGGGCAGGGAGCTGGAGGGATAGCTGGGTTCCTGTAGCCTCCTCCCTGCCCGCTGGGCAGTTTATCACCCCACATTCAATCTGGGTTGTGGTGGGGGCATGAGGGGGCAGGGTCACAGAGCCTGGATGGGGACAGGGTGTGTGTGAGTGTTGGGGGTGTGGGGGAGAGCAGGCGGGCTGAGGGAGGGATGGTGGCAGGAATGAGGACCCGTCCTGGCACGATGAGGGCGGAGCTGGTGGCTGGGCAGGTCCGGGATGTGGCAAGAGGCAAGAGCTGGGGGCCTGGAGGATGGGTGAGGGGGCGGGCAGGGGTGTCAGCAGCCCCTACCTTGTTGGTTGAGGGGAGGTTTGTCAGGGTTGGGTGAAGGGGAAGGGGGGTACGAAGTGTCTCCTGGTGCAATGGGGCCCCTGGAAGCTTTCAGGGGGGGCATCGGGGACGCACACCCACACTTCACCACTCTGTGTTCAAGGCTTGTTTGTTTAAACTTTTGTCCCGCCTTTTCTCACACACCAGCGGTCCCCCCTGTTCATTTTGTCCTGTCCCCACCAACAATTCCTCGCCTCTCTTTGTGTCTTTGCCAAACCCAGACACCAAAACAGGGGACCGTGCCTGGGGGACCTGAGGAGTGGTGGTGGTGGTGGTGGGGGACCGTTGCCATTCTCTGAGTATTCATGGGAGTCCTTGTCCCTCCTCATCTCAAGACCCCCCCCCCCAATCCTCAGCACGGCAAGGAGGAAAGAAAGGGGTCTCATATCACAAAAGCGCGCCCTTCTTCCCTGCAAAATGAAAACACCTCCAACTCCGAAGCCCTTCCCAGATTGTCCCCCCAAATAACTGAGACATGGTCACCACTCCCAGCCCACCCCCCACCCCCCGCAAGGACACAGCTTTGCAGGTACCGCTGGTTAGCCAGTGCACTCATGGCCACCAGCAGCCTTGGACCCCACCGAGTCCCATTCCCTGGGGATTCCCTCTGGATATCCCCACTTTGGCCTGTGGCTACAGGTGACACGAAGGAGGCCACCTTCAAGGTGGCTCCTGGCGCCCACGTTCCACTCAACTTTATGACCGTCTAAAGTCCAAGCCAGGCCCTGGCCCCTCTTTTCCGGAACCTCCTCTTCAGCTGAGCCCTAGCCCGCCTCTTTTCACTGCACCCCCCCCTCCCACAAAAGACCCCTGACCTTGGGGAAATAGGGGGAGCCCCCTGTCCCCTCCCCCCGAGGTGCCAGCTTCAGCAGCTTGTCCAGTATCTGGCCCTCCACTTCCCCCTAAACTCAGGTGAGTCAGGGCTGTGTGGGGGTATCCATGGCACCCTGGGGGAGGAGTAGGGACCCCCACTGACCCAGCTTGGTGGGGGACCCCTGCCTATTCTAGGGGCATCTTGGAGTGACAGCCAGGGTGAACCATTCAGGAAAACCACAAGTCGTTCTGTCGAAGGCTTTCATTGTAATTTTATCAAATTCTTAGAAGAGGGAAAAAGTCTGTTCTCCCCACCCTCACCCCCCCTTCTCTCGCCCCCCCCCCCCACTCTCACTTTTCTTCCATTCATAATTTCCTATGATGCACCTCAAACAACTTCCTGGACTGGGGATCCCGGCTAAATATAGCTGTTTCTCTGTCTTACAACACAGGCTCCAGTATATAAATCCGGCAAATTCCCCATTTGAGCATGAACCTCTGAAAACGGCCGGCTTGTGAGGTCTCCGTCCAGGCCCCTTGGAGCACAGCCCATAATGAAGGTCTTGGCGGCAGGTAAAGCCACCCGCCCCGCGCCGGCTTCCGCGTCCCCGCCACGGCCGCTTGGGGCCCCGGGCCAGCGCCGGCGCCGCCGGGCCAGCCGCCCGCCCGCCGCGGGCACTCGGACACTTGGGGCGCCCGCGCAGCCGCCGGGTGGCGGCCGGGAGCGAGCGTAGCAGGCACATGGTACTACTGGGTGCCGTGCGCCCAGCCGGTGCCGGGCCAGCAGATTGGTGGCAAGGGGAGCCCCGGGCTGCAAGCCTTCCTCTCCTCTTCCTCCTTTTCCTCCTGGCTCCCGCCACTCGTCCTTGCTTCTCCCTCCGGCTCCGGGATTCACCCACCCTCTTTCTTTTTCTTTCTTTCCGCTTTCTCTTTTCCAACCGCGTCCCGGGCTGCTCCGGGGAGGGGCGCGGGCGGCCTGAGCAAGCTCGCAAACTCGGGGCCGGCCCGGGAGCAGGTGTTGCCTCCATCTGCGGGTGTCTGCACAGGTGAGACAGAGGGGTGTGGGTGTGAGGGGACCCCCCCACCCCACTCCAACCAAGCCGCGCCTGGGGATGCTCGCAGAAACCCGCCGGGGTGTGTGTGTGTTGCGGGGCGAGTGGTGCCCAAGAGCAGTGTACTTGGGGTTCCCTCATCCCTCCTGTTACCGCAGCGAAGATCCGGGCTGTCTGGTGGGCTAGTACCCAGACCCTAGTACCCACCAGTGCTGGACTCACTACTGGATCCTGGAAACGCTGGGATCTGGGGGTGCAGGGTGGGGGAGGGGGCAGGCGCCCTGAGGGGAGGGCCGATCCCAGGCCGGGGCAGGCCCGGACAGCTCCCGGTTCTCAGCACCTTTTCCTGCCCTCCCTCCCGGTCCACCGGGCTTCAGCGACCTTTTCCCTCTTGTCTTTCCTGCTTGCACCATTTGCTCTTTCCCCTAAGGCTGGGCTGGGGGGGCGCCACAGCGGGGGGGAGGGGAAAGATGGGGGGGACCTTCTGCCCCCCCAATACACACACTCACTAGATTTTCCTTGCCAGGACCTGGGGCAAGGAACAGCGGGGAGGAGGGAGGAGAGTGTTGTGGGGGCCAGGCCTCACACTCAGGGCTGGACTGATTTTGGGGGTGTTGAGAATGGGCTGGAGTCATGTGGACCCTAGGGAGGGTTGTGGCCCCATGAGGAAGGTAGGGGAGGTTGGCAGAATTAAGGACTCTGTTGGTACACCCAAGGATCAGGATCAAACAATGGGTTTGGGAGGGAGACCCTTGCCTCTTTCCCACAGCCCCCCTCTTTTGGGGGAGTTGGGGCTGGGCTGTCCCCTGGCTGCTGATGGGGAAGACAGCTAGGGAATCCCAGGCATCCTGGGAGGTGGGGCAATAGGGCCTGGGCAGTGGTTGGTGCCTGGGGCGGGGGCTTGCTGGGAAAGCTGACTGGCTGGTGTCATCTGAGACAGTGGGAGCCCCACTCCACTTGACCCCCAGAGAAGGGTTTCTTTAGAAACTGAAGGAGCAGAGACACAGACCTGGAGAGAAAGAAACAGATGGATGACAGTGAAAACACCAGCCCGATCCAGGGAACCACAGAACCTCTTTCTGCCGCCTGTGGGGACAGGGGAGACAGGGAGTCCCCCCCCCCCACCCCCTGCTCCCATCCAGCATTGCTCCCTGCACCCCCAGACCCCCATCGCCTTTCAGCTCACAGCTCTCCTCCCTGCCTCTCTGTAGGAGTCGTACCCCTGCTGCTGGTTCTGCACTGGAAACCTGGGGCGGGAAGCCCCCTTCCCATCACCCCTGTTAATGCCACCTGCAACACACACCATCCGTGCCCCAGCAACCTCATGAGCCAGATCAGGAACCAACTGGCACAGCTCAATAGCAGTGCCAACGCCCTCTTTATTCTCTATGTAAGTTACCACCTCCTGGTGGGAATCCTGGGGGGGTGGAGATGAGCAAGGAGGGAGGGTCCAGGAGGAGAAGATTGGGAGCCTGCCCACCTCGGCAAAGATTGGGGAATAGAGACCAAGACAGGGGGAGGCCGGGGTGGTGGGGAGGAGTGAGGCAGACAGGAAGGAGCTGGGGGAGGGAGGGACGCCCAGGAAGAAGGTGAGGGCAGTGGGTGAAAGTGCAAGTGTGTGGTGCGCTCACTGAGGCGAGACAGACGAGACACCACATTTTCCTTTCTGTCCCCCTTGGTGATGGTGACAACAATGATGGCAAGGCTTCCAAGGCCAGCCGAAGTCTTGATCTTTACCGAATGCAAAAGCACCAGTACCTGTGGCTGTTCTCGCCTGGGGCAGGGGGCAGTGGGACAGCTCTCAGCTGTTTACAGGGCACCCCACCCACCCACCCACCCAGGGACACACTCCCCTGACCCCCTAGTCATCTCACCGACCCGTCTCTGCTCCACAGTACACAGCCCAAGGGGAGCCTTTCCCCAACAACCTAGACAAGCTGTGCGGCCCCAACGTGACCGACTTTCCACCCTTCCACGCCAACGGCACGGAGAAGGTCAGGTTGGTGGATCTGTACCGCATCACCGCCTACCTGGGCACCTCCTTGGGTAATATCACACGGGACCAGAAGACCCTCAACCCCACGGCGCTCAGCCTCCACAGCAAGCTCAACGCCACGGCAGACATCCTGCGTGGCCTGCTAAGCAACGTGATGTGCCGCCTGTGCAACAAGTACCACGTGGCACATGTGGACGTGGCCTACGGCCCAGACACCTCAGGCAAGGATGTGTTCCAGAAGAAGAAGTTAGGGTGTCAACTGCTGGGAAAATACAAGCAAGTCATTGGTGTGTTGGCACAGGCCTTCTAGGCAGAGGGGTGTTGAACTGATGGGGGCGCTCTATGGGGAAAGGGGAGCTCTGTGGGGCCCAATCCACTCCCAGGTGTCTGAGAGTGGGCTGAGAGGATGCTAAACTTGCATAGACAGGGTCTGTTTGCTGCATCCCATCTCCTAGAGACTGCAGCCAGGGTGTGGGCCCAGCTGCCCTCATTCCATCCCCTTAGCCCTTTGCCCTGAGCCCAGGGGCAAATTGTACAAGGATCTATGGCAACCTTCTTCTGTCCACACCTGCAACCCCTAGGGGTCAGCGGGACTCTCAGCCCTTAAGGGGTGACCACCATTCAGTGCCTTTGTTAGGGGGATAGGTTTTAGAAGGCATGGTCAGGTTTGGGCCAGGCCAAAGGGACTGGAATCCAGAAGGACTCCTGTCTTGAAAGTTTGGTCAGGGGGCAGTGGAGGGGGAGGCCCCAGGGTAAGGGATGCTGTCTCCTCATGAATGTGCTTGAGAACTCAGGCCTAGGGACGGGCAGGTGGAAGGTTCTAGATGTTCAGGTTCTTGGAGAGGCTGCCTTCAGGCCTAGGAAGGAGGAGAGGTCCCAAAGGCCCTTCTGTCTTTTTGGAAGCCTGGAATGACCAGGGTCTGGTGGCTGGACCCAGAGGTGTGTTTTATGGAGCAAAGGCAAGGGTGAGAGTAGGTGTGAAGTGTGGTGAAGGGCTGTTGAGAGGCCCTTGGGGTCTTCCTTCTGGAAAAGGGTTTACAAGACAGGGAAAGGGGGTAGCTCAGAACAGCAGCTCACACCCTGGGCCCACAGAGGCCCTGTGTGGTGGACACAAAGGGGGAACCGGAGGCCTTCTCGGGTCCCAAGAATGAGGGGCAGCAGGATGTGAGGTCAGGGTCGCTTGAGACCCCAGAGTGCTGTGTGTTTGACCCAGTGTGAGTGTATTTATTATAATGTCCTATTTATGTTAACTTATTGGTGCTTTCCATGGCAAAGTTCATTCCCCTTTCTCTGCTCCTTAACGGAGATAAGATGACAGCTCCTTAGATTTCTGGGCAGCCAGGACCAGACTATATAGCCTGGCTCTGGGCTGCAAATCAATGATGTTACAAGTGACCTTAAGTCTTAACCGGTGAAACTTGGGGCAGGGACAGGATCTCAGCATTGGCAGCCTGCTTTGGAGGTGTCAGGATCCCCAGCCGGTATGTGGACTTGGCCTAGTGTTTGTTTTTTTTCTTGATTCCAAGGGGGCTTTGTTGGCATGGGAGGTCCCCAGGGCTCCCCCAGAACTGTGCTGCAAGAGGGAGTAGTGTACTCCCCACCACATTTGAGGGGGAGGGTCCTTCAAATGAGCCTCTCCCCCATCCCAACACAACAGGGGGAGTCTGGGTGGCCGGAACACCCACAGAGGGTGTGAGAGCCTGGCAGGGCACACGGGCTGCTCCTTTGCTCAGAACAGCCCGGGACTCCAACCAGGAAGCTGTGGTCCCTCCTGCTCCGCCTCCTTCCCACTCCCACCCATGTCTGGGCTCCCAGGCAGGGAACCCGATCTGTTCCTTTGTGCTGGGGCCAGGCGAGAATTAGCGAATGAGGGGAGGAGCAACACCCTCCGGTCTGGGAGCCAGTGCTGGGGCAGCGTGTCCTGGCGGCTTCTCAAACCCGGAGTGAGTGGGTGGTGGCGGTGACGGTGGCGGCGGTCAGTGGATCGTGCTGTTTGCTAACACAGGGTTCTGGTACCCATGATGGTACTTGATACTCACTTTGCACCTTTCTTGTAATCTACGCACTTTAGACAGCAGGTGGGCTCATCTTGAGGCCTGGGGGAGGGTGGTTAGAGAGCTAGGAGGTTTCCTGTCCCCGACCCCCAATGACAACATTGATGGCAGACTAGGATGGGGCATAGGTGGCCGGGCAGAAGCCCCCACGGCGCGCACTGCAGGGTGGGATTTCAACCTGCTGCCCTCCTACCCGTCTGCGCTTCTGGCTCGGCTCTGGGACAGGTGCACGTCTTGGAGAAACACACACTTTGGAGGCCAGAATCCATGTTTCCAAGGCCCCGGGCCTGGCTGGCTTTCCCACCAATCATCTCATCTCCCTTGTGGACACGGATTCCCTGGGCTGGGCCCATCTAGGAGTCTCAACACCCAGGAACCCAGAGGATCTCTGCTCCTAGCTGTGCCATGCTGTCCTCCAACCCAGCCTGGACCCCGTCAGCACTGCCATCATCATCATCATATCATTCATCTTCAGTGCTCATTCCCCGTGTGGTTCCAGCTGGCCGACACCCACTTTTGCACCACGTCAATTGAGGGATGACAGAGCTTGGGGGTTTGAGGGGTGTGTGTATGTGTGTGCAATTGGGTGGCGAACACTCCAGGTGGGTTCGGGTGGCTAGCTATGTTTCTGTGTTTTCACCTGCTTGGTGCTGACCCAACCCTGGCATCGTGGGCCATGGGGGAGGAGGAAGAGGAGGAGGAGACAGAGGCCAGCAGCGAATGGACTGGGTAGGACAATCTTTTACAGTTTATCCAGAGAGAAGTATTGGGGTCCCTTATTTATTATTTAAAAATGGAAGCAAAAACCATGCACTGCTGCTTTACCTGTGTCCTCCTCCACTCCTTCTCCTTGTCCCCTGCTGGAGGAAGGGAGGGGCTCCCCCAACAGAGCGGGGTGGGGGCCCGGAGCCCCAGCCCTCTGTGGCAGCATCCTCCCCTTCAGAGGATACGGATGTGCCCACCCTGGGATCGCCAGGATCGCCTGACCCCGACCCGGTCCGTGGCCTTCAGCCGGCACTCCCACTGCAGGCTCAGTGGGCCCCACCGCGTGGCCTTCCTTCTCTGTATCTGGTGGCCCTGGCCACCAGTGCCTCTTTGATGAATGTACCCTGTGGGCATGTTTCATACTGACAAGAGTTATTTTTATTTATTCAATGGTATATTTAAAATATTTATTTTTTATACTGAAGGAATCCTTGTGTTGTTGTTTTTTAAAAGCAAAAAAAAAAAAAAAAACAAAACCCCATGAAGAAATGAATAAAGAATTTGTTCTTGCTAAGCCTCCTGGAGTGGATTGGTGTAGGGAGATGGAGCTGGGGGCCCTGAAGCGGGCTGAAGAGGGGTGCAGCACAGTCCTGAATGCTCGGCCGAGGGGGCTCTAGTGTGCCAAGAGGGGCCTCTGCCAGGCCAAGCACAGCGGGTGGTGCCCAGCTTGAGGGAATGAGAGGGTCAACTCAAACCCACTGAACAGAAGGACAAACTGAGGCCCAGAGAGAGCTCATGTCTGGGGTGGAGGGGGAGTTTGAGAGTCAAGGAGGGCTTTGTCACTTGTCTAGAAACTCGGATTCAAAACACCAGCCACCCAGGTCTTTGTCATTGGACACTGCCCATTCCTGGGGATGCAGTGAGAACAGGCCCAGGACAGTCTCTGGGGCCACACACGGGCGCAGGCATGACTCACCCTGACTGGTGGCTTTTCTGGGCTTTGGTGGTCTCTGGTGGCCCGGTTGTCCTCTTTCCTCACTCCTGGGGACCCCTTTCCATGATGGCCTTCTTCCCACCACTCTGGAGCCCCCTCCTTGGGGGCATGACAGAGGTTAGAATGGGGCAGAGGCGAACACAGGGACCCAAGGCCCTCTTACGCTTCATGTGTTGTAGGGGTTTGTGGGCTATGCATGGCAAGCGTCCCCTCTTGGCTCCCTAAGGTATGTCTAAGTATCAGGACCTGTGTGGTCATAGAAAAAGTGTCTAGAAGCTCACAGGCTGGCAGAGACTCAGGACAGCCTGGTGCAACCAGGTCCAGGTGGCCACAGTGCTAGCAGGATGGGGAAGGGGGCTGGGACTGAGCAGACACTGGAGCCAACCAGAGATGTGCGTGCGACCTTGGCCTCATCCCCTCCGACCCCAGGCCCCTGCAGACCCCTGGGCCTGCGGAATCACAGCTCTGTTCTTCAGGGTCCCCGGGCCATTGGGGTGCAACGATGCAGCTGGAGGAAGGTCTCCCTGCTCCAGCACGTCTACCACGCCAAGCACAAATCAACGAGGGCCACGCAAGCAGCTGCCGGCGGAGGGCGAGGCCGCAGGCCCCCAGCTGTTTCCAGAGTAGCTCCGCTCCTCCTCGCAGCTGGCCGGTTCCTTGGGCCAGGCCACACCCACCCGAGGGGTGGGGACACCCCCTGGCTCCAGGGAGACGGAGTGGAAGCTTCTCCAAAGAAACCATTTACTAGGAAACTAGAGGAAAACAAAACAGATGACCAGGGCATGCAGGAAGGTGGCAGGAGTCCTAGGGGCGTTGTCCTAGGGGCCGGGCCAGGCTGGTTCTCTCCCTTCCGTGAGAAGAGTGGGGGAGTCCACTCCTAGAGAGAGGGCCCGCCTTGGCAGCAGAGAACAAAGGACTGTTAATTGTTGACTTGGGTCCCCCTGCCAAGTGAGAAGGGAAAGGCATCATTTGGTTGAAAGTTGTGGGGGAAGGGAGCTTAGGTTGGTGCCCCCTGCCTCCACCACCGTCCCATGACCCTTAGTGAGCTGCGGGAGTCCTGGGTCAAGGTCACGATGCTGTCCTGTGTGTTGAGAGAGGGGCGGGGGATGTGTCTCTCAGGATGTCGCCTGCAGGTGGAGGGTGGATTCAGTGGTAAACATCTCAGGCACATGGCATCTTCTTAAGAACATGAAAAGATGTCACTGCACCCCACCCCCAGCCATGAATGTGGAAGGAGGAGACTGACAGAGTCCAAGACCCTGGCCAGGCTCTTGATGGGGGCGAGGTAGGCCCACAGAGGTTCCAGTCATTGATTCCCTGATGGTAACCTGAGTCAGCAGGCTTGGAGACAAAGCCAGGTGCTAGGCATGGAATGGAGCCCGATGTGGTGATGGTGGTGATGATAGTGGTGGTGGTAGCCTTTCCTTCTCTTGTTCCAGTGGGACTTGGGAAGGCTTGACCCCTATCCCAGGTGGACCATTGATTGGGTTGAGGATTGGAAGGCCTGGGGTATCCCTCACCCTCACCCTAATTTACAGATGAGGAAGCTGAGATCCAGGGAGATGTTGGCTTAT